TTCTTCTCGGTAATCTTTAGACAATTCTGACGTTGCCTCTAATGTTTCCCAATTATCTTTAGGTGAATTTTACAGCTCATATTTTTCTCTGGTTATAATGATGTACAGGACAATTAATCAAAAGTTTACAAATAGGTCTTTTACTTTCCCAATAGGGAAGGAAGCTGTTAACGAAGGTGGAAGAGACCTAAACCCGGGATCGATTTATATTTTCATTTTGATGTCTTCAGAGGTCACAAGAAACTTAAACCGTAAAAAGCCCCCACGTGTTTGAAACTTTAACTTAAATATTGTCTCCAGCTCTCGGCTGATTCAGTGTTGACGGATCTGTAGAAAAGTATGCTCAATCTATTTTATACCTGAAAGGCCAATAAAGTGTATGGTTACAATCAAATTAAAATCTTTACCATTAAAATCAACACCTAAAAATAGGCTATACAATTATTGAAAATAGTATGTTGAAAAATGTTATAGTTATTTTATAGTTATAGTTTTATAGTTTTTTTTTATCCTACAGTACTTCAAAATTAGGAATAATACCAAATTGAATGTATGAAAATAAAGGAAAGTTCCTTAGACCATTAACGAGTAGGTTGTTTATCACAACCGAACACAAATAAAAAACTTCCAATGTTCAGCTTAATTACAATACCATATTGTATCAATGGAAGGACCAAGGATACTGATGCAACAAGTAAATTAACCTATGGATTAATGCTATGTAGGAAAATAAGCTTTTCTAGAATTTTCAATTTCTTTGGTTGGTTAGGTGATTGTGTATTAGATTAAAAATGTGCAGCCTTAATAAAATTCATTGGGAGCTACTTATATCATTAAATTATGCCAAACCTGCCATTTGTCATATTTTGTAGTATTTTATTCATTATCATTCAATGAAGTCGTAGACCCAAAGATGGAATTAATTTGGAATAAATATTCAGCCGTGTGTATGTTGTATTTCAAAGGTGGTTGACTGGGAGGACTTCGAGTTGACTTGTATAGTGAGAGAGGAGATATACTTCCAGCCTACTTTTGTACAAATTAAATCTTAGGATGAATTGCATTTAGTAGGGTAAGAGATTAATTGAGTTATCGCAAGTTGTATCAACATTGTGTGCATCTTATGCATATATAATGTAATATTAATGATTTGTATTATAGTGATGCAAACCTGTAATTTAGAAAATCAATATCCCTATTGAGCTTTTAGGCTGAGCATTATCTTTTCTACTAACTCAAAAAAATATCTTTATTCAATATTTCTCTAACAGATCAAACTCATTTGGAAAACAAAATACCCCCGCCGCAGCAAACCTGCAGACTAAGCGAATTTCCATTTGCCTGATTGGATTTACACTAAAATGTCTCCTTAAAAATATCACATTTATTCCCTATTTAAATATAATCAGTTTAACACATACTTAGGTTTGCTGCAACAGGGAGGGTAAAAGTGTTTTTTATGTAAAATGGTATAGTTAGTAAGAAATAAAAACATTTTCTAAATTTGGGCAAAAATGTTAATAAACAAGCAAACTACAACAGTTTACTTATTCTCCATAAGAATAACATGGGAATTTTAAATTTACAATTTTTTGAAATTATCTCCATAACCATTAGGTGCATTATAACGCTTAGTATACTAAATTATTTGTTTTTTTAAGCTCTACAAAATAGTTTGGAAAGAAATTGCAAAATGTTATGTTTTTTGAGTCAAAAGTAGGAAAAACCCATTTTTACCCCATAAAACCCCCCAAAAACCCCCATTCCCATGGTCCGATCATGCTGGTTCGCGAACTCGTTCGAATAAACATAGGTTTACACGTTTGTACAAAATTTCATCAAAATCGGATCGTTTTTGCTCGAGTTATCGCGCTAACGGACACATATATAAATCTAATATATAAAATTCTCGTGTCACAGTGTTTGTCTGCAAACTCCTCCGGAACGACTTCACCGATCGTTATGAAATTTGGTGTGTAAATTCTGTAGGTATGCGAATAGGAAGTAAACTATTTCCCGTTTCGAAATTCTTAAAAGGGCTCCGCCCCAGTGGCTCTGGAGTTTCCCATGTTAACCTTATGGGAAATGGAATTAATGAATCTTAACAGCTGTTTCAATTAAACAAGTTGGTTCTGTTCTATGATGTTCAATGGCATTAAAGTTACAAGGATTACCAACAGGGTGCAGCACTATTATTTCTTTTACATTTATGACAACAGCTAATTTGCAACCAAAAGGTGAGTGAGCGTAGCGAACGAACTTCAACCTGGAGGCGAGTGAGCGTAGCGAACGAGCTAACCTAAAGGCAAGTGAGCGCAGCGAACGAGCTCCAACCTAAAGGTGAGTGAGCGTAGCGAACGAGCTCCAACCCAAAGGTGAGTGAGCGTAGCGAACGAACTTCAACCAGGACGTGATTGAGCGATGCGAACGAGATCATCTTGAAAATTAAACGTAACGGTACTTTCTTTCCATCGGTCTGTCTTAGGGGAAACCTATAACTTAGGCGATACGAAGTTCGCGGGGTCAGCTAGTATATATATATATATATATATATATATATGAATTTGAACGGATGGTGTTTTTGGCCTCTAGGGACCTCAAAACGAAAAAAAAATCGGTCCCGGGTCCAGGTCTTACCATGAGTACTACGGTAATAGCTTATTCCCTATATGGGAAATTCGCTAAAAGGGGATAAAAAACTATTGTAATTTGGTGGAAAAAATATTGTTTACAAACAAAAATTAACGAATCAATCCTGATTCAACCGTTTTTTATATGAGAAAATCCAAGTCTTAGAAGGGGAAACAATTTTTGACATATAGAATCACAAATTTGAAGACTTCGTTTCTCCAATAACATTTCTCGAAGTTAAACCATTATATGGAGAATACCAAGATAGAAACATTATTTGTTTACCAACAAAACCACCAACCTTTTTTCTTCCTTGTATAAACCACAACATTGCATTCTTCATTCTCCAAATATCTACGAGGATTCCACCACTTGAGAAGCAGAAAACTCACTGTGCAGACGACGGCGATCATAACGAATTCTCGACGCAAACTCAAAACGTAAACAACTGCGTTCAACGAACCTATCTAGTAGGCATGTTAACGAACATGCAGGAATGTGGATTACGATGGCAGTGAATGCTTCCGGCACTTCCCGAATATTACGACGATATGCAACAGGCAGTGGCGCGGCGAAGACTGACACTGCCACCTGTATAATCTAATCTAATCTGGCTCTCAGGAATTGAGGTGTGAAGACATCCATAGTTCCCGCCTTACAATGCCTGCTTGAGAAACAGATTATTGCGATATAGTTGTAGTAAGCAATGGGATTTGATGGTGAATGGCATATTTGATGCGTAGATCATTTATACATATTTATATGTAAAATTAAAAACCACCACCGGGCACCGCAGCAAACCTGCAGACTAAGAGAATTTACATATTCCTGATCGGGTTTTTCCATTGAAACATTTACTTAAACACGTTAGATTTATCCCATTTTTAAATATCACTAGGTTTAGTGAGTGGTTTGCTGCTACAAGGATGTCATAATATGAGTTTTTATACAAATGTTAGTAGCTTAGTATTAAATTAATAAACTTACCAAATTTTATCAAAAATATTTTCATAAACAAGCAAACTACATCAGTTTTCTTAATACCCGTAAGATTACCATAGAAATTTCAATTTTTTTGTAACTATTACTACAATTTTGCTTAATTTGTTGCTGTAATTTGTGTAAGTGTTTGTTCTTAGCTCTACAAAATTGTTTAGAGAATAATTGCAAAATTTTATGTTAGGCATTTAGTGTCAAGTGTCAAAAATGGGGGAAATCAAGTTTTATCCCTTAAAAGTGAAAACCTTATAAAAACCAAAACCTCTCATATTTGCAATGGGGTTCCTATTTTTAACATTTCTTAAAGACTCGAAGAAAAAAATATTTACAAACCATATCACGACGAAAAAATCAAAACTAAAAAAACACTTAGACTGTATAATTGCGCCGCTTACATGACTGTTGATAAGATTAGCTAACAATAGGAAATTTCGAACAGTACAAACTTAAATCAAGGTGAGCCGTAGATAATGATATCACTGTGTCTTAACAACCCAATAATTACCAAAATGGCCGTCCGAAAATAATAAAACGTAAAATATTAAATTAAAATATCCAGCATTTGCCAGAACTACGGTAAAACAGAGAACTGTGCAGTGTGCAAGTACAGACAAAATACTACTGAGTTAAAATTACTACGTATTTTGTATCATTGGCAACTTATTATGTGCTTTGCAAACGTGTTATGACGTTAGTCAATTTTTTTTGCAATTTGTACCTACTTTAGAAAACTTGTTATAAAGTCAGTTTATATAGAATCACCAACACTACACTACGTGCAAACACTAAGTATTTTTTTGGAGTTGATATTCTCGAAACTTTAAAAGTTGTGTACTGGTACTACATCGTTAGTTTATTTTCAAACTTTTTAATTTTCTCTTAATGTATTTGTTAAAATCCAAAATTACAAATGTTGAAAAAATCCGTTGAATTTCAGTTGACTTTACTCTCTTTGAACAGCCATTAGGTACACCTTGTTTCCTAATTAAGACAGATCCGTAATATTGATGTTAAATTATAACGTTTTTATGAGATTCGATAATTGGATAGTTCGATGCTGCCAATTCTTTCGTAACACTGTTTGCCAAATCAAACTGTCTGGTTCATTATTCATCTTTCATTTATTGTGTTTTTAAATATGTTCCTACAAAATCGCCCCTGAAAAAAGTGACGATGTAAAAATTATATTTATAAGCGGATTTTACAGAGGTGATATATATTTTTTATTTGAAATAAGATATTATGTCCTTACCACCTGCTAAGCTTTAAAACTACATATTAACTTTTACATCATTCTAGTTAAGTAACTTGTGATTTTGACATCAAACCTGTAAGTAAATTTTATTGCTTCTTTTACTGATACCACTTACTATCAGAGTTGCTGATAGCCGCCACGGTGGAGCGGAAGCGCTGCCGCAGCTGCTGATAGAACCACTCTCCTGACTGTAGTCGCACGTCCCTAGAAAATGGGGAAAATATAATCAGAATTGCATTATTCATTAATAGGATGAATGTCCATTACCATTGCCTATCTCATCGCTATAATTATTTTAAATAAAATTGTTCTGTGTTTGCTTGGTAAGGTTTCTGTATTATCCAGACGTCAAAATTTTCATTGAGGCTGTGTTAGACGGTGTTCAATCATACTTTTTTTTTTAAATTGATTTTCGGCTTGGCTTTCATTGCAACGGAAACAGAAACTGCAAAAACCACAGACAATAGAGTAATATCACAGACAATATAATACTTATTGTTCTATTGTATGTATACAGCGTTTTTATAGTCAATGGTTTAAGCAAAATCAATGGCAAGACCATGGATAAAACATTGTTGGCAAGACTAACTCACTCGGGCGGCGACAGCAGGAACTTATGTTATCACTGTACTACGTTACCGACATACTGGGATAGTAACTATCGTATAAGTACTGTCATTGGCTATAATACCTACACCTACAGGTAGGTATATATAGTCAATGGTACTGTATAACCATTGACTATATACCATAACTGACACAGTTGTAAAGTCGGTGTAGGATTAATTTAAATTACATATTGTCTCTTTTTTTCAAATATGTACCTTATAATATTTTTGTGCTTATATTATGTGTGAGGCATAAACTAGCTTATCTTTATAACCATTGCACTGTGGTTACCTAAGCTTGCGACACGACACACACAACCATCGTCTGGTGGTTGTCTTGGTACAGCAGTGACGACACACGGGCAGACGACAGTGGGCGCACTGGAGGCGGCGTCCGTAGCCCAGGGTGAGCACGGAGAGGCGGCGTCCACAGCGGGCGCAGATCTTGGAGGCGGTGGAGGCGGCAGTGGGGGCGGTGCTGTCTGTGAGCACGGCGCGTAGCAAGCTGTGGAGCAGAGAGAGGGTTAAAAGTGTTAGAACACGTAATAACTATGTTTTGATATTACTGTGCTAATCGAGTTACTTGTGAGTGCCGTTGGTTTTCAAGGCTGATAAGGGGAAGTATACTAGCATTGACACAGAGTAGACTTCCTATCCAATTTAAAAATTTTAAGCCAAAAAACCTGGTTCAATCTGTTGAGATGGGTTACCAACTAATGACAATATTCTGTCATGTGATAAATCAATCAGCTGTTGATATGGATTGTAATCAATATTAAACCTAGAACCCTAGTATCTTCTGGTGGTATTGGTAACTGGTAATGGTACTACTGGTTCTTGGTACTAATTCTGGTACTCTCACTGGTACCCTCTGGTGAGGTGATCCTGAACTTCATCTAATTTCTTGGTTTCAATTTTTCACATTGGAAAGTGAAAAGTGCGTCACAGTGGGAAGTCTACTCTGTATATAGTAAATGATACCAGCCTATGTATACACAATCTCAGTCAGTAGAGAAAAAAATAATTGCTAGTAATTATTTCGTAACTCTATAAACACCTAGGTGGGCATTTGAAGCTAAATATGAATGCAAGGTGAGTGGAGAATGGAGTGAGATGATCTATGTAGCTTTACCAGTCTATGTATACACAATCTCAGTCAGTAGAGAAAAAAATAATTGCTAGTAATTAATTCGTAACTCTACGCACACCTAGGTGGGCATTTGAAGCTAATGAATACAAGGTGAGTGGAGAATGGAGTGAGATGATCTATGTAGCTTTGTTACTGACTAAGATCAGCTGTTTCTGCCAGGAAGAACATTTGGGTCCATTTTCGAAACATCAAAATACATCTGACTCCTTTCAAGATGGAATCGGCGACCTTCTGAATGTTGCACTATAAACTAGCTACCCAGCCAGTCGCTATACACGAAATCCCCTCGAAAAGTGCTACCTCCAGATATTTGTTGCAGCTCTATTTTGTAAATCTTTGAGCGAAAAATCGTATGTACTGTAAACCCTCTCTCCAGAGTGTAAAAAAGTGTACAGTTTACTTCAGTGTATGCAAACTTTTCTTGTACAATGGCACCAAAATGTTATTGCATAGGGCTCCCAAAGAAAACTGCACACAAAGCATGCATGGTGGTGATGGCCTGTAATCATCATACGAGGGTTATGTTTATTAGGGCCGTTTTAGCGTAGATTGCGTGTACGCCACAACGAGCTCATCGTCACTTATGTTTATATTTAAGTTTAAAAATTTAAAGTGGTCACCATTTTCAAAATTTAAGTTAAATCAAGATGAAATTTTTTCCTAACTTGGGTCTCTTTTACCTTAACATACTTACCAAGTTTCATAAAGATCAGCTGAAAATATTCAAAGATAAAAAGGTTGGCCGTAGAACGATTGGCACACATTTTTAGCCGATTTGGAATAGCACGACTGGCACAATCATTAGAGGGGATTAAGAAGGGTCAAACTGTAAGGTTCGGAAAGGCACGATTGGCACAACAGACCGGTAAGGAAGTAGTAGGCAGGTAGCCAGTCTGCGGGAAAATGGAAATTGTTTTGTCCCCACAAAGTCCCTGCTGTAGTGCTTATTAGAGTAAGCAATTACTTCATCCATGGTGTAAGTTTGAGCGACAAATCTGCTGCTACGGTCACTGCCCCAGCTGGAGCCAAATAAAACTATACTAACCCAACCTAACTTAACTTAACCTAACCTAACCTAACCTAACCTAACCTAACTTAACCTAACCTAACCTAACTTAACTTAACAACCTAGCCTAACCTAACCTAACCATTTGAAAATGCGCGATATTACCGGCAAATGACTGTAGTAGCAGAGTTGACGGGGAATTTTAAACTTCCCGTTTTCCCTCGTTCGATGGCGTTTACCTGGTCGAGCGGTTGTGCCAATCGTGCCTTTTCCAAGCAGGCGAGTTGACCCTACTTATCCCGCTCAAATGATTGTGCCAATACTGCCATGGGCAGAAGATCCAAAAATGTGTGCCAATCGTCCCGTTCCCAAAAGGGCCCCATGTAAAAAAGTCAAAATGGCGGATATCTGGTTATTACGTCCTCACCTTTTTTGAACACCCTGTATATGGCTTGGTAGTTATTTATTCCATGCTTCAAAGGACGATTCAAGATTCTACCAACACACGCTTGCCAATGTAGGCCCATCTTGTTTAGTTCACCTTGTGTCCATACAAACCGTGACTGCCTCCTAAAGGATTTGTCTCGCTGTTCTTCAGCCATGCTCGTGTTTTGTGAAATATTTCAACATTATAACTAGGTGAGCCAGCAGTTAGAAACCCAGTACTGACACAAAGTACTGTTATGCTCAACGGTTAAACCATTTTGTCTAGATTACACTTCGGTTTGCTCACATATTTGTCTGAAGTGTAAAAGATGTGACATGTTTGTCTTAGATACATACTAAAATTGAATGGTTAAAATAAAATAACAAGCTGCTCTAAGTTGAATGTTTTATTTCATGTGTTGGCAGTTGTTACGTTTTGTCTATGGTAGGCACTGAATATTGTATAGTTTAAATAAATTAATATGGGGAATTACGATGTACATTGATTCAATGAGGGTGGTTTGATTATCAATAGACAAGTAATTTCGTCACTAGCTTTACTAAGCGTTTTACTTTTTAAATTCCGTCAACATGTGACCAGTTCTTTTGTTCAAATGAATATTATTTTATTTTTGACTCGGCTGTTTACAAAACAAACTAATATGTTGTTGTGTTTACTCTTCTTTGTTTACACTTATTTTTATTTATTTGGCAATTGATGCAGTGAAATTGACATAAAGGATGTGTGTGGACGATTCGTTTAATTATGTCAAGACACCGACGTTATACTTATGTGTACTGTGAATTTTATTTAATGTTTTCGTTTTATTTTAGGGAGTTTAAATTCAGACCTACTGGAAATTGTGTATAGTATGAGTAATTGTATTGTGGTGATATTGATTATGGAAGAGGCAGGTATGCGATGGAAGGTGATATCATTGACTAGGCCTATACACTTCTCAATTGATAATTACTCTTTCTACTGTAGGCTGCAATAAAATTTTTCTTTATACGTGTAAACTAGCTGTTCTGAATTATAGGCCTACACAGTTTTAACTGACTACTCCCGTACGTAGGACGGGCTAACACCTCGTTTTTGTTTAATTTGTTTCAGACATTTTCGTCTTTAAAATCTAATTATGCTTACGTTTACACAAATATTTTTTTTATGTAACTGTTATTTTATGTGCTTTTGTAATACCATTGAAAAAAATTACAAAACAAAAAAAAACACACACAGTCTTACTACGTTAGGCCTATCTAACGTCAATGGCATCAGAAAATCTCAAAATCTTTCAATAAACCTTCCTGCAACTGTTGGTTAGCACATTTTTAGTTCAATTATTAATTGTTAGGTTAAGTAAAAATGTGCGAGTTCCCAGCTAGAGTCGACAGATCAACTATTGAATTGGTTGTTATCAGCTGATAAGTTAGCGATTGAAGTAAAACAATTTTACTTATTTTTTTCTCAATATTTAAGCCTCATTTATAAACACTAGTGCTGTAAAGTAAAATAGCTTATTCCCTATATGGGAAATCCGCGAAAACAATGCGGTAAAGTGAATATTTTTAGTACCGAAAACTGAATTTAAAATGCTAACTTTAAAAACGGTTGTAAGTAAATTCACTTTATCGAATTTTTAATTTTTACAGCACTAGTGTGGTAAAGTGACTGACCAATAGGGTTCAAGGATTGAGAGGAAGGCAGTAAAATTGTAAAGTTTCTAACACCAACTTATCAGATGGCAACGACCAATTTAATATTGTAAAATTTTAAATAATATGTGTACAAAAACTTATTATTGATCATCCTTCACTGATAATAATAAAAACATTTTAAAAACATAAATTTTGTTGCTTTTTTTATATTTATAAATAAACTGTTTTAATAACTACAGTATTTCTAAAAAATATACTATTTTGTCTACTTGTATACCAGAAACAGTAGGCCTACTTATGGTAAGAATTCTGCTAGCAGTACCTATTCCCTGAAAAAAGTAACAGAAAGAGTAATGGTATTGAAGTATAACAAATTTAATAAAAAACTTTCGTAGGTAAATTTGTGTAAGCAGCTTATATGATAGTTGCGTAAACTAACACACACACAGGGAGTCAGCCTGTTGTAGTGTGAGACCTGGGACCCCTGAATTGATGAGACTTCACACTAAAATAAATATAAAAAATAATAATAAAAATAATAAAATAAAAATAGAATAAATCAAATAAAATATTAACTATTGATAAATAAAAACTCCCATTGCCCTTCTAGCCAAGTTTGGACAGTAATTATTCCAGGTTATAATAGAGATGTAAAGGCTATAATGCTCCTATAAACAACATGAACTATTATTTTGAGTACTTTTTTACAAATAAACATTCATCTCAGAAAAATAAAAATACACACAACACAGTGGCCAACAACCGTCTGGTTGGCGCACTTAAATGTTAACATTCAGCACATTTTTTAAATAAAAATGAAATAAGAAGTGAGGTGAAGAACTAATGATTTTCACCGAACAAAGCTCGGTCCCCAGGTACTTGTAAAAATCAAATACCCAATTATATTAGTTTCAAACATAAACAATTTATAATGGCTTACACAAAGTTTATTCATTAAAGTAGGATTGGTATACATAGGATCAATTCATGAAACGATAGGAGAATACAATATTAGGCTAGGCATATTAGGAATATAATTTGCAGTTAGCGGAAAGTTTAGGTACAGTCCTAATCATCACTTTTCTTTATGTTTTTTGGGTCGCTGAACACGAATATGAGGTTTGCTGACAGATATTTTGCCCGGAACATTGGTTATTTGGTGAAAAACCTTAAAATTTGGGCACTTTTTTTGGTTTTTCGGGCAAATCTCGGTAAGTATGGGTTTTTGAGAAAATCCTGCTTTGTAAAGTTAAAGATGACAAAA